GGGTAAGTCTTAACTTCCCTGCTTGCTTTTTCCAGTTACAAAAAAAGTAAAAGTGGGGATCCAAGAAGTCAGCTGGAAATTGGCCAGACAGTCCTAGGTGATGTGCGATGAGTCTGAGCTGGATACTGGAGAGAGTTTAGAAATGAGAGGGAGCAGTGGACTGTGGCCTCAGGCAGTATGGGATGAGAAGGTGGTTAGTTATGGCATAGATGTGGAGGTCCAATGTTCACATGTCAACCTATACATGAGTTCTGGAGATCTAACTCAGGTCATCAAGCTTGTATCTCCCTGGAATGAAGAGTAGTCTCTTTAGGACCATGATACCATGTACCTCCTCCCACAAAGCCACTGTACCCTTTCCATACCTACAGTGAACTGAGACAGCCCCACTGGAGGACTTGAGCATGTATTTTGTTTGATTAGTTGCCCTCAAGTACAAAAAAGCTGATGTAGTCCATAGTTCACAGTCCACTGCTGTCATCAGTCTACCAAAGGACCTCTTTTGTTTTCCCTTTCTCACTTTTCCCATCCCTTTCTCCTGTGCTCAGTTTAAGTGCTTGGACATATTTGTATCCTAGAAAAATATACAGTCTCATAAGACTATTTTATATAAATAGTATTTGTCTATAGAGTTCTATAGGCTAGGCTGGTCTGGGACTTGCTTTGTAGCCAAGGATGACCTTGAACTTCTAATTCTCCTTCTGTACACCCTAATGCTAGGATTACAAAATCAAGCCAACACACTTTTAAGAAGAACTATCTGAAAGGATGGCTCAGCAGCTAAAAGCACTTGCCACTCTTGCAGAGGCCCTGGGTCTTGTTCTCAGCACCTACATCAGGCAATTCACAACTACCTGAGAAGATCCTGTGCCTCTCTGGCCTCTCAACACTTGCACATTTTAGACCCGCATGTGTACAAATAAAGTAAGTCTTAGGAAAGATCTAAGAACTGATCATGGAACTCATTCATTGCTTACATCAGCTATAGCACATTCTCTCCTCTGCTGGTTTCCTTTCCTTGTCTTCCAGAGAAAGATATTGGAATTGTTGCCAATTTTTTGTTTTCCCAAGGGAAGCTGCTGAGTGTTTCTTTCCCTCTTCTCTTATAGACCTGTGCCAAGATCTAGATGGTTCCCTGGTTACTTGGCCAGGTATGCTTCTGCTGTCTCATAGCACACACTTGAATCACATACTCTAGTAAGTTCCACTACCACACCTAGTTCATATTTTACTATTTCTTAAATCTATACTGCATCTGTAACTATCTCCCTTTTTCATCCTGCGTTTTGTTTGTATCTATTCTTTCTGTCAGTCTCTCTAGATATTTGTCTGATTTTAGTCCTTTCCAAGAATGGGGTTTTTGATTTGATGTTTCCAAAATATCATGTAGCAGTAACATGTGCCCTTGGGCCAAGTGTACCTGTTTCTTGTTTCACCATGCACTAGCTATGTGACCTTGGACACATTGCTTGGCCCCTGTGTATTTACTTCCTCAGTTGTGAAATGGGAATAACAGTCCTTCCCAGTAGAGCAAATGTGAAAAATCAGATTAGAAAAGTTACCCAAAGTGCATGAGTTCTTGGGGACTATTTAGTGCATGTTCACTCCCACCCTCAGCCTACACTAGTCAGGGTACCCCAGAGAAACAGAATCAACAGTGTGTGTGTGTGTGTGTGTGTGTGTGTGTGTGTGTGTGTGTGTGTGTACAGCGATGGAAGAGAAGGAAGAAAAACTTGATTTTCATTGCTTTTGGTAGTATTGTTGGATGATGATGATGCCAGGTTATGCCATGAACTTTCTGTACATACAAAGATGGCCATGAACTCCTGCTTCTCTTGCCTCTGCCTTCTTAATGCTAGGATTACATGTGTACAACACCACACCTGACTAGAGACATTACTTTTTAGATGAAAGTCTAAAGCCTCAGGGTAAGCCAGCAGGCTAGAGACCTAGGGGAGAGTTGTAGTCCAAGTTCAAAGGCATATGGCTTGTAGAATTTCTTCTTGTTCAGGAGAACTCATTCTTTGTCTATGAAGGCCTTGACTGAATGGAGAAGCCCCCCACACACACACACACACAATAGAGGGGAGTCTTTATGTGGAGCTCAAATTATACCATCACAGAAACATCCAGAATGGTATTTCAGTAAATATCTAGACTTTGTGGTCCAGCCAAGTTAATGTGAAATTAAGAACCATAGTGCCTCAGAGTCTTTGCTGGAGCTGTGCCTTCTGTCAGAAACGTTCACTTTGTAGGTCCCTCAAAGCAAGGAAGGCACAGGCACAATCACCCTGTCTCTGCCTGGTGTTCCTGGCCAGGGCTCACTCACACATAGCAGCCCAGCTAAGTTCCCTGCTCAGTTCTCACCCTGATCCTTCCTTTTCCCTATTCCTTTCTCACATCACCCAAGGACACCCTATTCATTGTAAGGCTTGATTTATTTTCTCCTTCTCTGGCTAAAAGCAGCACTTGCCTGTCTCTCACAGCTCATCACATGTCACTTGTGTAACTCTTAAAACATCTCTTTCACCTTATGCCTTAGTTATTTTGTGTAAGTGGCGTATGATCCTGTGGCGATGGTAACTTATCTGTCTTTAGAGCCTCACTGTGCCTATGGGGGCCCAGTAATCATCATGTGGATGTTAATGATTGGCAAATGGAAGAGATAGAAAGCTGGGTGGTGGTGGTGTACACTTTAATCCAGCATACACCTTTAATTCCAGTACTTAGGAGGCTGAGGAGGCAGAGGCAGGTGGATCTCTGTGAGTTTGATGCCAACCTGGTCTACAGAGTGAGTTCCAGCAGAGCCAAGGCTACACAAAGAAACCTTGTCTTGAAAAAAAAAGAAAGAAAAGAAAAAAGGAAGAAAGAAAGAACTAGAGAAAGCAGTAAGTGACATTGTAGGAAGTGAGGGAATAGAAGACCTCAGAGGCTGGAATTATGGTGAAGTGTAGTGTAGTATGAAGATGGTGATGATGATGGTGTTGTAGGTGTTAGAAGTTTATTGAACATACCATGGTCCAGCAGTTTGCCATTGAGTCCTCAACATATTGAGATAGGCGCCATTATCATCTCCATTTTCCTGCCAAAGAGTCCAGGGTGCTGGAGTTGGCCTGGCTAAAGAGTCTGTATTTTCAACTACTGCTGGTTGAGGACTCAGTATGTGCTGGGTGTGTGTGGCACCATACATGCCTTATCTCTAATCCTCATGGCAAATGTATAAAGTGCAGGGCATCTCAACTTTGCAGATGAGGAATCAGGCTCACTAGGTTAAGTATCCTGCCCAAGGCCATGTAAGTAGAAAGTGATGGGTCTACAGTGTTTGGGGCCCACAAGAAAACCCTTTAAGATGGGACAGGGGATGGTTTGTGCAGGAAAATGGAAGCAACTCAAGTTAGAAATCTGTGTGTTCGAAGCTGAACACACAGGCACAGCCAGGGGATCCCCGAGAAGATAGGAAGGAAGGACCATAGGAGCCAAGTGGACAGCATGAGAACATGACCCACAAAGTCAACTAAGAAGGGCTTATAGGGACTCACAGAGACCAGTGACAAACATGGACCCTGTATGCACCTGAGCTAGGTCCTCTGCATGTACCTTATGATTATATGATTATATAGCTTGGTGTCCCTGTGGGACTCCCAACAATGGCGGCACGGGGGGGGGGCAATCTCTGACTCTTTTACCTGCACTTGGGGCCCCTTTCCTCCTATTGGGTTGCCTTGTCCAGCCTTAATATGAGGACTTGTGCCAAGTCTTGTTTTTTTGGGGGGGGGAGGAGTGGGGGTTGTTTTGGTTTGGTTTTTTTTGGTTTTTGAGACAGGTTTTCTCTGTATTGCTTTGGAGCCTGTCCTGGAACTCTCTCTGTAGACCAGGCTGGCCTTGAACTCACAGAGCTCTGCCTGCCTCTGCCTACCCAGTGTTGGGATTAAAGGTGTGCACCACCAACACCCAGCTCCAGTCTTGTACCTTGTTAGGCCATGTTGTTTGATGTATATCCCTATGAGGCTTCCCCTTCCCCTTTTTTTTTTTTTTTTTTTTTTTTTTTTTTTTTTTTTTTTTTTTTTTTGAAGGGAAATAGAGGAGGAATGGGTCTGGGGGAGAGGGAAGTGAAGGAGGAACTGGGAGGAGTAGAGGGAGGGGAAACTGCAGTCTGAATGTAATATATGAGAAAAGAATAAATGTTTAAAAAAAGGAAAACTGGGGAACTGGAGAGATGGCTCAGCAGTTAATTGCACTGGCTGCTCTTCCAGAGGGCCTGAGTTCAATTCCCAGCAACCATGTGGTGACTCACAACCATCTATAGTAGGATCTGATGGCCTCTTCTGGTATAAAGTTGTATCTGCTGATAGAGCACTCATATTCATAAAATAAATAAAACTTAAAAAAATACACCTAGGTCTTCTGTGGGGCGAAAAAGGCCTCTGCTTCTAAGGGGACACTATCAGGGCTGCTTTTCTTTGTGGGGGGGGGCTCCTGAGCACTGTTTTTAATTTGATGATGGGGTAGAGGGAAGGCTGAGCATCAGAGGTCTGGGGTACCTGGCCAGCTCTAGCTCTATCAGCATCAGCACCAGGGCTGTGCAGGACTTTGCATAGCTGCAGGGAGATAGAGTGCCCAGATCTGCTGAGAAAGTGATGTTCATGCAGATCTGTAGCCAATGGAAATGAACCCCTCCCTTGCACCTTTGCTATAACATTCTCATCTGCTCTTTTCATGGGGCAGCAGGAGCAGCGCTCGCCAGGCTCCCAGCCCTCTTCTGATATGGCTTCAGAAGAGTTCTGGAAATTTCCAGAGCAGGCTGGGATTTATCCAGGATGAAGTACCAGCAACAGAGTCTGTAACCTTGGGCCCCTCTCTTGAATTCAGTGAGTGGTGGCAGATAAGGTTTTTGACTCTTGGCCATCAGTTGCCCCAAAGCAAGGTGGTCCTCTCTGGGCAGGTGTGTCTCAGAACATGTATCAGTCACAAGATGTTTCAGCAGCATCTTCTCTGTCCAGGTCATTGCTGTTGTCATGGACCTTTTTACTGATGGGGATATATTCCAAGACATTGTAGATGCTGCCTCTAAGCGACGGGTCCCTGTGTACATCATCTTGGATGAGGCAGGGGTGAAGTACTTTTTGGAGATGTGTCAGGGTCTGGAGCTTGCTGATTTCCGCATTCAGGTGAGTTGCACCACTGGGACAGGTTGTGGTCCCAAGATGAGAGGGGAGTCTCCTTCTGCCATTCCTCTGCCTCCTCCCCTTTCCTCCTCCCAAGCTCAGAGACTCAGATTGAAGTTCAAGATCCTAATAATATAAATTTCCTTCTAGGTAAAGCCATGACTCAGAAACTTGTAACTGCTTGCTTATATATCCTTAATATTTTTTTGTTGTCCTAGAGCTGCCAAGTCTGAAAGAGGCAGCTCTCACCTAGTCCTAGGGTGTTCAGTCTATAGAACTACTGGCTTCACTGTAAGGTTCAGCATAGGGCTGTAGTTCTCTGGTTGGGAATTTTGAGCAAGAACTCTCCTGAGCTTGTTGGAAGTAAAACATGTAAAGCTGAAGGAAGCAGAGAATTTTGGAAAGACTTGGGCAGCTGTCAGGGTCTGTGGACCTCTCCCAAAGCAAGTCTTTGGTGCAGAGCCTTGAGGCCTCCCCAAACATGGTAAAGTTGTCTTTCTCTTCTCTACAGAACATCCGTGTCCGCTCTGTGACAGGAGTTGGCTTCTACATGCCCATGGGGAAGATCAAGGGGACTCTCTCATCAAGGTTCCTGATGGTGGATGGGGACAAAGTAGCCACTGGATCTTACAGGTGTGTTGGACCAGGATATTGGAGGGTCCAGGAAACCTGTATTCATACTAATTGTTCAGGAATGTTCTATCTTAGAGCTTCCACCGTCGTAGTTGTTAGGTTTTTTATGTACTTTTTTTTTTTTTAAGTATGAGTGCTCTGTCTGCATGTATCCCTACAGGCCAGAAGAGGGCATCAAATCCCATTTTAGATGGTTGTGCACTACCATGCGGTTGCTGGAAACTGAACTCAGAACCTCTGAAAGAGCAGCCAGTACTCTTAACCACTGAGCCATCTCTCCAGCCCCTACAGTCATGGTTTTAAGAGGCATTGTCTGTCCTGGTCAAAAACAGCCTCCTGCCCAGGTCCTTTCTGTTGACAGACTGATTATTCCAGAAAGAAGACCAACTCTTCCTAGGCAGTAAGCATTGCCTGGTTGCCATGGTCCTCAGAAGCTGGTTGTGTCTTGAGACTGGTTTTCAGGTGGGATAAGCAGGAAATAAAAGGAACAAGATCTGGGGAAGCAATGTGAGGTGTCGTCTTAGTTACTCTTCTATTGCTGTGGCAAACACCACGACCATGGTAACTTATAAAAGAAAGCATCTCAGTAGGGGGTAGAGGGTTAAAGTCCATGACATCATGGTGGGGAGCATGGCAGCAGACAGGCATGGTGCTAGAGCTGAGAGCTCACATCTTATCCCCAAGCACAAGACAAAAAGAGGTACCTGGGAATGACATGGGTTTTGGAAACCTCAGAGCCCACTCCCAGTGACACACCCCCTGGAACAAGACCATACTGCTAATCCTTACAAACAGTTCTGCCAACTGGGGACTAGGCATTCAAATCTATGAGCCTGTGGGGGCCATTCTCATTCAAACTACCACAGATGTGGCACAGAAAGATGACTCCAGAATTTGAATTGAAAGCAAAGTACCAGGTCCATGAGAACCTGTATGTAAGCTATCTCTTTCCTCTGAAAAAGTGAAAATCTAAGTGAGACTTGAGCATATGTAATAATAAATGGTCTGAGTCCTCTTCTGCAGTTAAAGTATGGGTTTTTGTAGATGCTATGCATTTTGGGAAGGATCAGTAGGGATGGAACACTGTTAGCAATGGCACAGCTTAGTTCCTATGTATTGCATGTGTTTGTACCAGGTATTGTGCTGGGTATTTCATTTAAGCCTCAAAGCTTTGAGTCGAGGACCTGCCATCTCCCTATGGCATGTTCTACCTTAGGCACTGTAAGCTGCATTGTACTAGGCACACAGGAAGAGTAGATGTGGATCCAGGCTTGATTCCTGAGTCCCATGGGAAGGAAGGGGGCAGAATTTGGTCTGGTAAAAGAAAAGCAATCCACTGTGAGGGCAAGAGGCACTTTTCACCAGGCATCAGGCAGTGTGGCCACAGTGACAGACCAGGTTGAAGCAGGTTGAAGGGAAGAGCTACTGGTAGGACACTGTGGAGGTCTGGGCCCACCCATGTCTCTGCTTTCTGTCCCCAGCTTTACCTGGAGCTCCTCCTATGTGGACAGGAACCTTCTCTTGCTCCTGACAGGGCAGAACGTGGAACCCTTTGACATAGAGTTCCGGGAGCTGTATGCCATCTCTGAGGAGGTGAACTTGTACCAGCACCTGGGTCTGGCAGGCAGGCTTGGCCTCAACTACTCCTCCACTGTAGCTCGAAAACTTATCAACCCTAAGTATGCCTTAGTGGCAAGCATCCGCCCTCCTCCAGGAGAGATGATGCGCTGGGCGGCCCGGCAACAACAGGAAGCTGACGGCAATGCAAAGGGACAGGAGGGCAATGGTGGTGGTGAGTCTGCCCGGCGTCTGGAAAGCTTTCTGAATGATTTGGTTACAGTGGAGCAGGTATTGCCCACAGTGGAGACCATTCCCTCAAGATTGCTGAGACCAAAAGATAGCAGGACGGTCTCTCAGGTACATGTAGACCTGAGGCACAAATCCCGAGAGGCACTCCCCCAGAATGGCAAGGGAGAAGCTGCCAATGGAGAGGCCACCCCAGCCAAAGAGAGCAAACGCTTCAGCAGCAGGATCTTCAGCCGAAGAGTGAAGAGGCCTGCAGTGCTAAACAACATGGCCCCCTCCACTGAGACTCTTGCTGATGTGGAATATCCTCTGGGGAAGAGGGCTAATGAGGGCTCCAGTGCCAACATATCAGGTGAGCTCCTGTCATTGAACCTGGGGACCCTGGGCAGGTCACTGCGGGTCCAAGTTTCAGATTCCTCCCCTCTGAGGGAGGAGTGATACATGCCTTGCTTGTGTTTAGTACAGCGATGGGCATGGGATGGTCTGGGAAGACTGTTTTACTCCTCGATGGCATTCATATCACCTTCATAATAGCTTCAGTAAAAGAAGGAAGTGTGACAAGTTTTCCTTTTATGAGTGAAAAAACTGGCTGAGAGTCTAGAGCTCCTTCTGGCCATCCAGCTCCTTACTGTCATCAGACATACCCAGTCCCACTGATGCCCTATTCAGCTTCCTAGTTTCCATGTCTGTTTGAAAAGTGGATTTGCCCTCTGGTGATGTAGAGCAGTGGTATCTTTTCTAACCATCTCTCAGGGATCTCCTTGAAGCCCTGTCTTTTGTCTCTTTCTCCAGAGCAGTCTCGACATGACTTTCAATAGTCTGGTAGTGACAAACAGGCTGCTGTGGAGCCTTCCGTCTCCTCTCAGCTTCCTGGAGTTGGAAGGACTTCTGTGCTGGGATTTTTCCTCCTGTGGTTACAAGGCTTTGCAGTGATGAGAACTGGGCTTCCTAACTGGCTTACTATGTGAAAACTGGTTGTGAAGTATCTGTCCTGGGCTGCCCAGGGGCTCCCAGGATTCAGGTATCACATAGACCTGGCTTTGATTCAATCAATGACCTAGAGCAGGGAAGTCACCACTTTTCTCCTGACTAGAAGCATGTTGTGTCCTGTTGAACCCAGGGATGTAGTTCCTCTTAGAACAGGTCTAGGGGTGTCTGTAATGTGGCACAGTATGAGAACTAGGGCCCCACCCCTGCTGCCTCCGGTGGGCCCACACTGCTTGAGCAGCTCGGCAGGCCAGGTTCCACACACCCTCATCATCGATGACCCACATGAGTGCAGATGCAGGTGGATACTGGAAGTGCATAAGTGCAGGTCATAGAAAGTGACTGTAAACATGGGTCAAAGCTGGGCCTGGGCCTTGTCCTGTCAAGGGAAAAGTGGCTGGTTCCCCATACCCATTCCTCTTGGGCTTCACTGGCTCCCAGCACAAGATGCTGATGTGCTCTGTACCTCTTGTTTGGAAGAAGGGTTGCCATGGTGAACACCTGGCAAGGAAGAAGAGGGGGTGAGCCCAACCACAACGGGGCCATTTCCTAACTCCTGACTGGAAGTGAGGTGGAAGCCTTCTCTTCTCCTGCCCCTCACCCTTAGGTGCTGTTTCCATAGAAACGAAAAGCCCATTGTCTTGTCCTTTTCTGCTGCCTCTGGTGTCAGATTCCTCAGCTTAGATGACTTAGGCAGTTGTGTTTGCTATCCGTGCCTCTCTCTGAGCATTTGTACACAGTGCCCTGAAGCCAACTAGCAGATCCCATTGTGCCTTTGGGAGCTCTTCCTCCAGAGCATCCAGCCCCCTAAGCAGAAGGGCTGGGTAAGAGTGGCTAACACACATAGGGAAGTCTGAAATGTGTTGTCCCCGCCTCTAGCCTGGGGAAGAACAAAAGAGGTAGCACCCTCCCAGCACACATACTCTTTGCCACCCCACCAAGGCCTGAAATCCTAGCTCTCTACTGAGACCTCTGACTCCTGCTTCTTTCTTGCTCAAAGGCAGGGTTGAGAAGCTGTGTTTCTCCTCCAAAGGCTCTTTCTATACCTCCCAAGCCCTAGGCTCGGGGACCTCTGGTACCTTCCCTCAAGGTGGCAGCTGCTGAGTAGCTGACTATACACCTAAGAACACAGCATGACTGCCATCCTGGAACACCTGGAGCTTGAGTTGGATTGGAGCCACTTGAGCTGCTTCCTCAGAGAAGGAACCCATCCAGGGAAGGAGTCCCCTTCCCACAGGGAGCATTCAAGCTGAGACAGACAGTGGCAGCATGATCTTAGCTCTTGACATATTGCCTTCCCCTCTCCAGGGCTGTCTCCTCTTCTAGAGGAGAAGGGGTAAACTGGGGAGGGCTTCTGAGGTCCCTTTGAGTTGGTGCTGACTGTCCTATCTGTCTCTGTACCCTCTTGTCAGAGAGAACGTGGATGGATGACAGGGTGGGTGAGAGAAAGATAGGAAAAGCTGAGAGCTGACAGCCTGTAAAATTGCTTGATAAGAAGTATATAGTTGTCAAACAGCATGCAAATTTTTGCAAGCCCAGGTGTGGCCCTGGGGAGAATCTCACAGAATCGCCTCCTTTGGGGCTGGGGAGGGGGGTGGGGGAGGGGCACCACAATGGCTTCAGCCTGGAAGTTTGAAGATCCAGAGCCCCCTCTAGTGGCTGAAACTGGGTTCCGTTGCTGTTTGCTTTCGCGCTAAATAAAACATGTCCTCATCGGGTTATTAACTCCTGCCGTCTTGGCCACTTGCCACCTGCACCCATACAGGATCTCTGGGCAGGCTCTCTGGGAACAGAGATTTCCCAGTCTCAGGAGAGCACAGCCAAAGGTATCCTGTGATAGTATAGAGTCTTATAGTTTTAAAATCCTGTGAAGGGTATAGAGTCTATACTGTTGGGTGCAGAAATCTGCATTTTTAAAAACTACTATGAAACAGGATTTAGTCAACTAAATGTATCATTCTCTGGATGGCATTCACCATATTGGTAAAGACTAAGGAATTGATGACGTTCAGCAAAATGTGGAATGTTAGTGTTGCTGACAGAAAAAAAAAATACACTTTGGAAACCAAAGCTTTTATCACAGCTGTTGCCATGAAGATCCATTTCATCTTTTAACCAATCCCCACTGCCAAGAATTTAAAATTAAACACTAAATTAAGTCAGAAGCATAACATAGGAATGCCAGCATCAAAGAAATTCATGCAACAAAATAGTGGATTTCAGGATCTCCAACACATGAACACACTCACTCCTGTTAAGTTAGAATGTGATGGCTGTAGTGACTCGGTGAAGAAGAGCTACCTTTCCCTGTTTGCTCCATATGACACAGGGCAACAGGTACATTAGCAGGTCATGAAGCTCTGAAGGTAAGTATCTGCATTTTGAACAGGAGCATTGGTTTTCCCACAAAGCTTTCCAATGCAGAAGGGTCTTCAGACTAGCACCAATGCAGTTAGTTACAGGAGACTCAGGCAAAGCTATGCCCCTGGGGAGTCACTAGGCTAGACAGGGAGGTCCTATGTGTTGTTCTTGAACTCCTAGGGGATCATTGGAAAATGGACAATGGTTTTCAAGTGTTAAAGGGGACATAGAATGAAATGCTGTCACTCAGAACTCAGTTGTTTTTTGCAAGTATTTACCAGATGGTGGCATCCCACCAACAAGATCCTTGAACTCCAGAAGTGCCAACCTGTGTCCACAGACAGGATGGGAGGAAAAGACAGAATGATCTCTGCCTCCCAGGGCCTCCTCAGAGCAGTTGTAGCTGCCTCTAGCAGGTTAGAGCTGATACCATCTCCCCGCTTCTGTAGAAACTGGAAGGCCTATGATACCCCTATCTCTGATTTTGGAGTTGTGGCTTCGAGGCTTCTGGATTTGGGGACTTCAGGCTTTTCCATGTTGCCCTATGGGGCTAGTGATCTTTGATGTCTTACCTGGAAATCTGAGTCCTCATCTGGGGTAGATTAGTTGGGAAGTGCTTCCTGGGCTGCGGATCTGTGGCCCCTTTCTTGGGATTTTCACTCAAGTATTGCTCCTGGGGAGCATGGGTCAGGCCCCAGATGGTGTGAAATATGTCCTCAGACCTGACTATCCTGAGCCCTGTGACCAACATGGGGTTCTGGTCACACAGATGAGGTAAGCTAACTCTGCTCCAAAGACGAGGCAGCTGTACAGTTCATACATACATGTATGATTTATTTCATTTTATATGTATGAGTATTTTGTCTCCATGTATAGATGTGAATCACATTGGGCCTGGAGCCTACATAGTTCAAAAGGGGGCATTGGATCCCTTAGAACTGGATTTACAGATGTTTGTGACCCACCATGTGGTGCTGGGAACTGAACTAAGGTCCTCTGAAAGGACCTTATTGCAAGTGTTCTTAGCGCTGAGTCTTCTCTAATTCTGTCGTGCTGTTCTTACCAGAAGCCCAAACAATTTGTCTGTCTTCCCAGTTCCTTTGAGGCTGCCTGGGCCTCTGGTGACTCTCTCAAAATGGTGCTAGGTAAGCATGCATCACCCAGAGCAGATTTTATTGGTCTGAACTCCAAATAGCTAGCCATTGTCTACCTACTTGTTTTGTCCAATAAAGAATATGGTTTTGAAATGTTTGCTCTGTAGGGCACAGGGAATGGAATGAACAAAATCCCTTTCTTGTGTCACCCATTACCCTAGAGATGGTTGAGAGCAGTAAGCATCATGACTCTGTTATACAGGGTGCCCAGAGGAGGCCTCATTGATTAAGGAGACTGGAACAGAGCCTCAAATGGATACATGGACATCAGGGAAAGAATTTCCCAGATAAAAAGAATGTGAAGCCCTGAAAGCTGTAGGAAGAGGGGACTTGCTGTCACTGCAGTCCTATTGTGACTTTCCACATTGCTCCCTCCTCCCCTTCTCTTGAAGCATCTTGCTTGCTAGCTGTTTTTCCACATATGCCAGTGCCACATTGTGCCACTCTCCTGCATGCCATGGGACATCCCTACTGCTCTTCATTCATGCTCCAGTCTTCAGTACTAATCCTCTTTGTAGTTGGCTTTCTCACATAAGTCTTCTTTGGGTCACTCACTTTCCTGCCACACATACTTTATAAAAAGAAATTGTTTGGGTGGTTGGCATAATTCTTCCACATTAATCTGAATGGGTCCAAGGCATCTGCCCTTGGCAGTTTTCTGGTAAATGAACATGGAAGGAATGGTACACAAAGAATTTTCCTTCAAGCCTGTTTCTCTGTCAAAGTCCAAGAAATGAATCCTGATGATAAGGGATGTCTCCAGGCTGGGATCCAACCTGCAAATGGAAGGGTCAGTACCCACTGAAAACTACCTTCTCTGGGAAGGAGCTGGCAGGGCACAGGTTCTTGGGTGCTCTCATACTCTCAGCACACTCCTGCCCTGCTTCTAGATCAAGAGGTTGATTTTGCTTACCTGCCTCCGAAGTGCTGCTGCCTCTGGGGAGGCACTGGGTATTCACTTAGCAGGCCAAGCAAGCAGAAAAACCCAGTGAAGAGAGGAAGTGAGGGCCATCCATCCCCTCTTGCTGCAGCGAGGGGCTCCAGGGTGGTAGAATTTAATGAGCTTCACAGAGTCACACCAGACACAGCCCTCAGCACCACCATGGAAGGCCACTGGTTTTCTGTTTTACCTCCTCCTAGACAGTTGTCTGCCTGCGTTAGGGGACACCCAGGAGGGGCTTGGCAGGTTTTGCAGTAGATCCTGACGAGTGAGTTCATTGTAACCAAAGTGAGGCAGTGGCTAGTTGAGCAGGGACAATGGACCTAGGCAATGTGGCCTTCAACAGGCATGGGGACTCACGAAGGGGCTGCAGCACCAGAGTTCTAGTCCAGCCCTGCCCAGTGCCTCTCCTGCTACTACAACTCACAAGAGGCAGTCCCCTTAATTAAATTCACAGCTGAAGTGATATGGACAGTGGTGTGAGCACCAGGGAAATTGTCTTTATTGTATAAAGGGAAATCGGCAGGAAGTAACACAGTGGCTTCCACCTGGGAAAAGCAGCCAGCAGGCATTCTGAGGACGTGGACTCTGCCTTCAACTGTCCAGTGCCTCCAGGGCCAGCTAGAGGTGTCAGGTCAGCCTCGCAGCAACCCCCCCCATCCCAGAGTGCAGAGCAGGATTCTGTCATGAAAATGGCTGTGCCCTTTCCTGTGATTATGAAGGAGGTAGAAGTAGATGTAGAGGCCTGGGAGGGAGGACGGGGCCCTCTAGAGAAAGGCAGCCTTCAAAACCCAAGGTCTGTGCTGCTCCATCCTCTGCCTGGGCCACCCCACAGCAGTGTGACCACACTGCCCATAGGGCAGCTGGCCCTCCCAAGGCATAGCTTTCCTTCTCTAACTCAGCTGCCTGAGTGGCAGAAGGAGCTGAGACTGGACAGAAAGGCCAGGGCCTGGCACTGTCACTGACCACTCCAGGGACAGGGTTACTACTTCAGCTCTGCAGTAAGGCAAGTGGTTCGGGCTCTCATCGTTGCTGCCCCTATGCCCTCCAGTTAGGATCTCTGAGAGTGCCCTTGATTTCATGAGCGCTTGAAGCTGCCTACAATATTTAGCTGCTAGTGATAGGACTCTTTAAGTCATTGGTGGCTGACTTCAGAGTCCCTGTCATCCTTGGTCAGAAGACACAGACCACTTGATGTCTCCAATCATGGGGATCCTCCAATTATGGTGAGGCTTCTGAAACAGATAGTACCTTTGCTTTCCTGGGCACCCTGTTGACCTGGATTCTACATTGGCAGCTTGGAAGAGAGACATTAGTCTTGAGCTCTAAACTTGCTTATGTGGGGACGATTCAAGGTTGGGCATAGTGGCAAACTCACTGAGCTTGTTTCTCATAGCCTCCACATCTGTGCTCTGTCTCCACAGGTAAAGGGAGTCTGAGGATCACCAAGTCCAGCAACTGTGTGATCTCCTGAGCTTCAGGGTAGTGGTGGGCAGGACCTGCAGATGCCCACCCATCCTGTCCTGTGCCTCGGAGAGCATGGCCTATACCCTGCACTGGTTTACACATCAGACCCTAACCAGGCCTCCTACCCTACAGCCTCCATCCTGGTCTTAAGGCCTGAATCCTAGATGGCAGGATCTGAAGCATCTCAATTATCACTGCCTCCAGCAGACTGTCGTGGCTGGACAAGGAACACTACCTTGTGGCATGAAGTAGAAGCCTGGCTGGTGTCTGCTCTCCTCTATGCCAACCTCTCCTCCACTGGGCCAGCCCTGTCCTACAGGTCCTCTGGTGGGAGAAAGGCCATTCTTTCTGCCTTGGTAGGACAGGATGTCCAAGGCAGCCCCAGCCATTTGGGCTTTTCCTTGTACTTCTGGTGATGTCTAGTTCCTCATACCCCAGAGGTTGGTGGGGAAAAAGGGAAGAAGATGGGACTCGGAGCCAGGCTTGCTCCAGCCTTGAAACTCCAGGTGGAAGACATAGCTAGAATAGCAGGGACACTGGCTATTGTGGCCTTAGGGACACCTATTCCTGCTAACACCTAGACTAGTCTCTGAGTGGAATAGGATGGGGATGGGGATATTTCGGCCTCCTTCCAGCTAGTGGCAGGATCTGACAGTGGTGGTGAAGAACCCCTTTCCCTCCTGCACTGTTGTGGTAAGCCTGGCCTGAGGGCCCTGGCGCTCCACAGAGTGACTTTCCCTATGCCTGCTCTTTTCAGTAGACTTTCGTTTACAGGCTCTGTGAAGGAAGGGATGCAGGGGAGGAGGCTGAGCCCAGGGGACAAGAGCATTGTGTTTCCTCCCTGCCAGTTCCTCCCTGAACATTTGCATGGCCTTCTTCACACACTACGTCACCCTCAGTGAAATTTCAGCCAAAGACCAGCCTGAACCGCCTGCAAAATGTCAGGCTGTTCTTAGATGCCTCAGTTTCTCTAAAATGTTGGCTTAATTGCCATAGTAGTACTGCCAAGATGACCAGCCCCACTGCCACCTCCACACACAGTGAACTATGCAGACTGAGGGAGAGTGACCATTGACACAGAAGACATTATCTAACTGCAGACAGAATGACACAGGGGCAAAGGTCCTCTGAACCAAGCTCTTGTCTCCTTTTCTTTCTGAAAGGCCCTTGGGTACCACTAGTACTGGGAGGGACACAGGCATCTGCAAAGGCAGCTGGTGAGAGGCAGGGAGGGGGTGCTGTGAGCTGCAGAAGTGGGGCAGTACATGGTGGCCTGTGCCTATGTCTGGGCTCCTGGCTGATGGGGGATAAGGGAGAAAATTAGGGATGGCCTCAGCCCAGTGTCCCCTTTGTCCACCCTGAGGTTAGGTTCCAGGAGTGGGCAAGGGGCCCCATGTGGCTTCCCAAGCCTTTGTAAGAATTAAACACTTCTGGTAAGTGCTTCCTGATACAAGGCTAGCAGTGTGGTATGTGCTTATTCTGGAGGAAATCGGGAGGCCTAGGTGACATGGGAAGTGGCCTGTTACACCTCTGCTGCACTGGTCACCTTGGAAATGTGAGATATAAGATACCTAAACTACAGCGGGGAAAACAGTGACCATGTAGAGAGTAGTCGCCTGCGACCAGGAAAGAGACCTCTCCTAAGCAATTCTGCTGAGGCCATTGTCTCTCTTCCCAGTGAAGGAAAGCTGGCCTAGTTCACCACTGTCAGTCCTCCTAGACAGGCAGCTGAAGGGAGAGTTCTCTTCTCTGCCATGCCGCTTTCCTTTCACTGAGCACTCACCACATGCTTTGGTCATGAAACTTTCATAGACTAGCTCAAGTAAGAATCTATCATGCAGGCTCACCACCATTTCCAAGTCCACATCACAAACATACTAGTGCTTGGCACTGCAAAATCTGTGGGGGATGGAGGAGGCACTGTGCTGTATACATGGGATGTGGCCAGGCTGGCCTCCAACAGCCGCTTCAGTTCTCCTGAATGCTTGGGTTACAGGTGTGCACCACCACACCCAGCTTTACCTTGTGTGACTTTGGCATAGCACTTTGGCTCTGAGGTTGCTTACTTACCTGAGATTTTCCATTCTGCGACATCTTGCACCTTGGTCCTAGTTACCTTGTTTAACACTTCACTGCCTTATTCTCCCCAGAACAGGTGTGTTTATGTGCACACATCTGCCTTCCAGTCAGTTCTCTGACAGATTTCCTCCCAATCTGTTCCCCTTCCTTCAGTCCCAGCCATGGTAAGCACCATGAGACATACCTATGTGTGCCCAGGAGAGGTCCCTTCCAAAAAGAGCTTGCTAGAACTGACAGCAAAAGGACCTCCAGACTCAAGTGAGGCAGGCAGGCTGAGTAAACATCACAAAGCTACTGTCTGCAGCTAATAAGCCGCACCTGTGCCATGGCTGCAGCTTCTCATCTGGCATCTCCCTACACTCATGTTGTTTTCCCCACAGGGCCCAGTGGCTGTCCTGAGTCATCTGTCCTGCTTTCCCAAAGGCACAAGATTTGCTTCAGGGTGGCAACCTAGGCTCAGTGAGTTGAACTTGACCAAGGTAGGAAGAATGCACACTAGAGAAAAGCAAGAGGTGGCAGGTGCAGACAAGCAAGTGTTCATAGGCTGAGTCATGAGAGGAAGACCCAAAGGCCTCATGGAGTTAGCCTCAGACTTCCCACCACTCTTGTCAATGGTTTTGCTCACCCAGCTGTGTCACAGGGAAGGTATTGCTTCCAGATAATACTCCTTGGCCAGGCTCTGAACACAAAGGCCACATCTGTCTGCCCCAATGCCACGACCATAGTGTCTTCTTAATATCTGTTGGTTAAATGCCTGAAAAATTGGATGGCCATGGCCAGCAAGATTGATCAGTAGGTAAAAGCACTTGCTGTACAAGGATAGTGACCTATGTTCAATTCCTGGAACTAAGGGTGGAAGAAAAGAACCAGCTCCCAAAAGTTGTTCTCAAACCTCCATATGTACATGGTGGCACATGTGTTTTATCGTCATTCACATATACATATCTGAGTCCTTTCAGAGGGAAACCAAGAAAGACCTTGGGATTGGCAGCTTAATCCAAAGTTACCCACATGTCCTGGGAAAGACTGGAGTCCAGCTATGGTAACATCCTAGTACACTGTCTCTCTGCCTTTCCATGACAGCTATTCAGGAACAAGTTTTTATCCAGGAAAGTGATCAGAAGCTAGGGCAGTCACCAGGAAGTGGTGGTACATGCCTTTAGTCCCAGCACTTGGGAGGCAGAGGCAGGTGGATCTCTGTAAGTTAGAGTCCAGCCTGGTCTACAGAGCCAGTTCCAGGACAGCCTCCAAAGCTACACAAAGAAACTCTATCTCAACCATTAAAAAAAGAAGAAGAAGAAGCTAAGGCAGTCTGAAGACACCAAAAGCAGCTTCAGGAACAGGTACCTATGTCATAGGAGATGAGCTCAGTCCTGCCATGAAAGCCGTCAAGCATATGGGAGCCTGAAGGAGGAAAAGCACAAAACACAGGAACAGGAGCCATGCCCACAGTGCCCATGGCCCTAAAGGAAAGTCCATTCTATGCCCAAAATCTTGCTTTGTTGTTTATATCCCCCACTGGCAGCTTGGAGGTTAGGTGACTGAATAGGGGAGGGCAGCTCACTGCTTGTGTGCAGTAAGCTATTTAGTAAGAGGATAGTTACCGAGTGCCAGGCCTGGGGACACACAGTGACTGAAGAAGGCATGGTTTGAAACCAGAGTGGATGAAGCCAGGAGGTGATGGCATGTGCCTTTAATCCCAGCAATTGGAAGGCAGAAGCAGGTGAATCTCTTCGAGTTTGAGGGCTAGCCTGGTCTACAGATCGAGTTCCAAAACAGCTAGAGCTACACAGTGAGACCTGTCTTGAAAAACAATAAACAACAAGAAAAGCAGAGTGGATACATGCCGCTTGCGGTGACTTCCATGAGGGCATGAAGTAGAGTAGGTTCACCCAGGCACAATCCTGGCTCTTCCATTATATGGCTAGGTACCCAGCAGACTTACTTCTAGAATTTGGGTTTCCTTTTATGCCACATGGAGGAGACCCACCTGAGGCAAAGCATCTTGCAGGAGAAGGTGCAGGCTTGGAGCTTCCAGAAGCATTTTTATGACATTCTTCTGGGCATCCAACCTGACAAATAGTCAAGTGCAGGGGGCTTGGTTGGCACACTGGACTGAGTACAAGTTGACCTGGAGGAAATTTCAAAGGTGGAGAAAACTGCCAAGCTTCTGTTTGTGAGTCACTGTTGGACAGGGACTCATGTGTATCATGTCCCCACCTCAGAAGGCATCTGGGTTCATGAAAATCTCACTTCTCTTAACTAATAGTTTTGGGTGAGACAGACGATTTTACCTTGTCTGGAGAATACTGTGAATATACAAAATACAAATAAAGCTTGAACCAAAGACAGTATTCTGTACTCAAGAAGCTAGCCAACTCTGCACCACACCAGCCCTGTTCTCTTTGCCCCATAAACTCTGAACTGTCAGGTGTTTGCCTAGCTTCTCTGCCTTTGGCCTCCCAACTATCCCCACACCTATGGGAAGGAGCCTCCAGCCTTCTAGAGCACTGGGTGCTGAGGCTCCTAAGGAGCCATGTGGGTGGAAGCACTGGTAGAGAACGGCTGACACCTAGTGGCTATCTGGCAGTTTGCATCATACCCCTCTAGCTCAGATGGCCAGGCTTGGGGTAAAGGTCAGAGTAAATACTCTGGGCTTTGACAGAGCTCGATGGCACACATTTCTGATCCCAGCACTCATAAGGCCCAGGCATTGAAGATTGATGCAAGTTCTAAGCAAGCCCGGCCTGCATAGTGAGCTTGTGCCCCATCTTGCACACAAAGCTTCAGGCTATTCAGACTTGGTGACTGCCATGACTACAGAGAAGCACTAAAGCAGCTGCACATCATACATAAACAAGTGGGCACAACTGAATTTCTGTAAAACTGTGGTGCTGCCATAACTGAATGCTGACATGTAGAAGATTG